TCTCATACTAAAAGTCTCCCCTGAAAATCCAGTAATTCCTACCCAAATTCAGGTTTATGAGGCATGTAGGAGTGGGGGTGGCTTTTGACTGGTGGACTTCAAAAATGGGGTAAAAAGACAGCTGAGTTTTCCACTGAGGGAACATCAAATGTCACCCTCTGTAGGTCTTGCCACTTGGGCCGGTCAGTTCCCTAAAAAGGGACCTTCTGATTTCCTGCCTGGGAGGGTGTAAATCTGGTGCTTAGAATTTGGAGAGTCCAGTAGGGGAAGGAGGCCACTGAGAAGTAGTTCACCAAATCAGAATCAGTCTCCTTTTCAGCCCGGGCCCTTATCCCCACAATCAACTCTGCCGACCTCAGGAGAAAGTCAACTCCTCCATCTCCTGCTGAGAGTGAAGGAGAGCAGTTGCTCACCTGTGTCGGACGGAGGAGGGGCCAGATGGTGGACAGTGTTGTCAATGCCCATTACAAACATTCCGCTAATCCTCGCTCCTTCTCCCTTCCAGAGGCACCCAGGGCCTTTAGATTTTGTGCTTCTGATTCCTGTGATACAGAAGTGATCGCGCCTCTTGCTGGCTTCCTCCTACTCACCCCTCACCCAAGCTGACGTTCCAGCTTTCTCTGGTTTGCTTAGCTCCAAAATTCTAGTAGACAACTCTCATCTGTTCTTGTCTCTTCTCTAGTTTTTTTTCTTTTAATTTAAAAAACTGGTAAAATACACATAATGAAGTTTACCATCTTAACATTTTTAAGTCTATTGTTCAGAAGTGTTAAGTATATTCGTACTGTTGTGCAACCAACCCCAGAATTTTTTCATCTTGCAAAACTGAAACCCTTTTACCAATTAAACAACAACTTCTCATTTCCCTCTCCCCTTGGCTCCTGGCAACCACCATTCTACTTTCTGTTTCTATGAATTATGACTACTCTAGACACCTCATGTAAGTGGAATCACAGTGTCTGTCTTCTGTGACTGGCTGATTTCACTGAGCATGAAGTCCTCACGGTTCATCCAGGTTCCAGCATGTGTCAGAATTTCCCTCTTTTTAAAAGCTGAATAATTCAACATTTTTAATTATTATTTTAACTTTTTATGATGGTTCTCATGTTCTTTTGTCCTTATGCGTTTATAGATTTATTTCCCCCATTCTTTTAGCAATTATTTTACTGGAGTTTCAAGAAATAAACTTGTGAGTTCAACGTAGTCCTTAATAGGAAACTCACGTTCTGTTTATGAAATGTAGCATTTAAGGACACATTCTCTGTTGTTTTTGAGAATCTCTTTAAATTTACAAGATCCCTTAAAGGAGAACAGAATAATGAAGTTGCTTATAGTCTTCATTTAGCCAAAGAAAAACAGGCTTTGATGTTAAACAAAAAAAGTTACTTCTAATAGTTATTTCCTCAGTGTGCATAGACTATGCATATAAACTCTTCCCTGGGGAATCTAGTGTAGGGGATCTCTAAGTGTGGTCCCTAGACCTGCAGCATAAGCATTACCTGGGAGTTTGAGAGAAATGCAAATTCTCAGGTTACCTCAGACTAGATTCTGAAAATCTGGAGGTGGGGCCAGCAACTGTATTTAGCAAGTCCTGCAAGTGCTTCTGGCGCTCCCTAAAGTTTAAGAACCATTGGTCTTCTAGAGGAAGCCCTTGGCAAAGCGGCATCTAGAGATTAAACATTTTATTAGTCTCAGTCCTAATGTTTACAAGATTTTCAGGCTACGAGGTGACCATCTTCCTGCAGATAAGTGTGAGGTGCCTGTATCCCTGACGGCACCCATGTTTAGGACTTTCCTCTCTGCTGAAGAGACAGGCCCTGTCTTCTTTTTACACCACCTTCCCACTTTTGTATCCTGTATCCTACTGGCCACACTGACTGAACCAGGAGACAGTCTCTCGCTCGAGGCCAGCCAGTCCACCATCCAGATGGTCAAGACCAATGAACTGGATTCTCTCTCGAGAATACAAACTAGAGACTCCAAACCCTGCAGTCAGTGCTGAACTGTTAAAGGTATATGAGGCTGAGAGTGATGGCCATAGCGAACTCTCTGCAAGGACATCCTGTGTCCTCTCAGTTTGCCTACTTTTTTTCCCCCTTGATTGGGTATATATTTCTTGCACCAAAGAGGCTTGATTGTTGCTGTATTACATGATCAATAGTTAACAGATTAACTATGGATAAGAAGTGCTGTAGGATCGATTGGTCCTAGTGATTATTATCCGTTGTAAAGCTGCCCAAGCTATGGGCTCATCCTTGCTGCTGTCCTGTTTGAGCAGCTGCATATAAACAATCTGATGTCTCTGTCCAATATCTGTTTAATTTCCCATGTGTGAAAACAAATTTGGTAGCACTCCTCTTTCATTCCAATGCTGCACTCTTGGAGTTCTTTCGCAATTGCTTCTGATTCTCAGAGAAACTAGTGCAAATTGCTTTGTAAATAAGCAACCGAAGAATCAATATCAGTGATGTTCTTTGGAAGAATTTGAAGATATAGTTCTCATAAGTCATTGTCACTGTACTCCAAGGTTCAAAAGGAAACATTCTGAAAATGAAAGCAAGGGAAATCATACAATAATACCACAACAGTTATGGGGGAGTGAATAAAAGCCAGACTATGATTTGAGAATTTGTTCTGAGAACAATATTAACACAGGAATATCAGAATCAGGCTTTACTTTTCAGGTCATGGTTATTGATTTAAGAACTGACACAAATAAAAATTGTTATCAGAGAGCTGTTTGCAAAGATGTTTAAAATCCAAAAGGTCTTCTTTTAATGTGATACTACTGTGGAATATCCCAGGATGGGAAGGACCATATAAGTCATCTAATCCAATTATGCCTTTTCATGCTTGACTCACCTCTATACCCCTAAAGAAATGACAGCCACATGACCCTGACATTGTGGGTGGTGACAGAGCCATCGTACAGTAAAGCTACAGAAAGGAAGCATGGCATTTTGAAACACAAAAATGTAGCCTGCTCCTATGAAATATAGCTCTCGTTAATGTTTGGGAAAGTAGTGCTTTTTTTCTTCTGTCACTCCTGGGGGAAAGGGTGTTAAACATCGTGGCAGACACTGATTATTGTGCCCAGAATTGGTTTTCCTTAATCTCCAAATGTTTGCTTGGCACACGACTGCTCTAAATAAAGCTTACATTTCCAAGCTTTCTGTAGAGCCAGGCATTTTAGTTATTGTTGCTGTGTAACAAATTACCTGAAAACCTAGAGGCTTACAACAACCTCTTTATTGTGCACAAAGATTTTGGATGGGGCCTCACAGGGCTAGTCGCTTCTGTCATGCTGGCGTGACTTCTTTCAAAGCAGTCTCATGAGCCCACTCAGATGCAAGACGAGGGGAATTAAGGCTTCAACTCTTGGCGGGAGGAGGGGAGGTGGCAAGGTTAGACTGTTGAAAGCACATGGGACAGGAGAGAGTTTTGCAGCTACCTTTGGAAAATGTCACATCATAGGTGTGGCCACTGACTAAGTTCTGGCCAAGAGGATACAAGAGGAATTGGTGTGTGTAACTTCCTGGAAGTGTCCTTAGAGGAGGGATGTGTGTGTGGTGGTGGTGGAGGTCCCCTTCTCTTTTCCACTTTCTCTTGGGTAAAATATGGATGAGTAGACTGGACAAAGAGCAGCAATTTGGACAACAAACTGAGGATTACAGAGCAAGGAGCTAGAAGGAGGCTGGGTGCCTGATGCTCATGGAAACACCATACCAGCCCTGAACTGCTTACGTTTACATTACAGAGAAATAAACTTCGATCTGGTTTAAGCTACCACATTTTGCATTTTCTTGTTAATCTTAATAAAAACATCATCATAAATGAAGACAGATAATGCATACTTGTCTTAAATTACTGCATCAGTAGATAATAATGCTTATATGGTCTCCATAATGCTTATGTGGTTTATATAATAGTTAAAACTTGACTAATATTGTGGGCCGTGCAGCGAGGATCATGATATTTTATAAAAGCTCATTTCTTAAAATGGTTGACACTTACCATCAGAAGTACCTTACTGTATTTACAAACATTTTATTTTGAGGTTAAGAAATGGACACAGAGAAAACATTCAGTCATGGAGTGAGTACAAGTTGTATTATAAACAGGGTTAATATCAAAATGTATTTTTTATAAAAGGGACTAGTTTGTTACATCTTGATTTCTAGTCTTTTGAATTTTCAGAGCCATGTATTTACTCTTTTTTGTGGGTAGAAAGATAAATCAGAATAACTAAGTGATCTTGCTCTTGAAATATTTTATTTACAATGATATGATAGTCATTGTAAAAAATGAAGTATGTGCTTTAAAATAGCATTTAATTGGCAAAAGACAATTTTTTAATTCAAACCTAAAACATTTGCAGAATAGGCCTCCTTTCAAAGTCAAGGACTTCTTTAAAAGGACACATCTCAAAATCTATTTCACTTTATATTGAAGTACGAACTCCTATTTTTGGAGATATAATCAAAATCACTCAAAGCGTAAGAGAAAGTTTTAAAATAATAACAGTTTAATCAGGCAAAGTTTTTTATTTTTTATTTTTTATTTTCTTGCTTGAAGGCCACTCGTCCTGACAATGACATTTTATTCAAATTGCTGCACTATCCTGTTTGAAGGGCACACACTAACTTTCATAAGGGCCTCACAATCAATGGTGCACCTGTTTTAACACGCAGTAATTACACAGCGTGGACACTGGGATAGCATCAGTAAAGCAAAACAATAGAACAGGGTGGATGGAGAAAAGGCTGGATAAAATGTGGCGAAAGAAAAAGTAAGGTGTCACAAAGATGGGGCATGACTTCTTTGTCCAAAAGAGAACCAATATCACTGTATGACTTGAAACAAAAGACAAGACATCGTCCACACTTATCAGCACAACTATATATATTCTTGGAGGAAAATAAGATGACGCTGCCGAGGTGGAGGCTGAAGTTTCAGGGCTAATCGAGTGGCACCCCCTCTGCGTGGGCTCCCTGCGGTGAATGAGGCGTGGGAATTCGGCCAAGCGGCCCGCCCGCTCCGGGACGTGCGGACAGGTGGACAGCGAGGCGTGCCTGGGCCAGGGGGTGACCCGGGTAGTGCCAAGTGGGGTGCCCCGCCCCGGCCGCGCCCCGCAGCCACGCGTCCCGCCAGC